ATAGATAGATAGATAGATAGATAGATAGATAGATAGATAGATAGATAAGTTTTGTTGTCATTTTTTACTGTGAGCACACTGGCCCACATAAAAATTATTATTTTTTATTTAAACACACACAAACACATCCTTTCATAACTGGCTTTAGATATTTGATGGACAGTACTGCTATATTTGGAGGGTATCAACTTAAGAGTTGATTTTTTTCCACTAATTCTTTCAGCCATCTACCTTCTCTTCATCAGCCTTTATATAATTCCCTGCTTTGAATATATCTGGCAGAAAAAGATATTACCACATTAACATCATTTTTTTATGGAGAGATTAAAGAACTTTTGATATCAATTAAAATGATTTATCAACAAGCCTCTGGATTTTGTTTTTGTAACCTGATGCTTAATTGTGCAACTTTTCATACAATAATGTACCTTGAAGTACCCAAGTAACCATAGCTTGAGATAAACTAGGGGACCCCATACTTTTTGACAACAATGTCAGCAATCAAATGCAATCTTCTGATAGCATGACTTTCTTTTTTAGTTGTTATTTCATGTTGTGTTTCCTGTATGTGTTTTGAATGCCATGGAGCATCAAGTCCCTCAAAGAAATACCATAGAATCTGAAAGCTTTCCAGCTTCTTGGATTAATGTATTTATAATTTGTTTTCAATGCATGTTAAGTATCTGGCAGACTCCATCTGGGACCTGATTCAGCATTCCTCCTTCCCAGAGATATTAACTACGTTGAAGTCATTGCTTCAGCAGCAGTTAATTCTCACAATGTCAGTAAGAAAACAATTTTGAATTAACTAGGTTCAGAATGGTGCATGAGTGCATGAAACAAAATGTGCTTTATACCTTGTAAACCACCTACTGGCCCTGTTTGTAAAAGAAAACCTCTCTGTTTCTGCCTTCTGTACATTTGCACACAGTATTGTATTATCATTACTACTTTTAAAGAAGTACTAATTTATAAAGCCAAATGGGGTTCTAACAATTAAAAAAACAGATCCAAATCATGGTTGGATGAAAAATGTGCAAAAAGCAATTAAAAACATCTGCGATGTATCAGAATAACAAATACCTATTATTCTTGAATTTCTTCATGAAAAACAAAAAAGGAAGTGCAAAGCTTTACTAAAAAGAAGAAAAGAAAAGCTCAGAAGACATATTTAAAGTCACTTGATCCAGGCATCAAAATATGTACCAGTCTCCAGAGGAGCCCAGTGTGTGCCATTCATTAACTCAAAACAGCTCTTGAGTCTGATTCTAGAGAACCACTATGGGACAAATCCCATCCATTGATTGGGGTCTGTGGGCACATATTATATTGTTGCACAATAATACCCACATCCAAATAAAGTCAGCTTGCTCCTGGCCTACCTAGTTCCCAAAATGTTAACAGCTGTGTATTTTAGCTCCTTTTCTATTTAATCTTTATGATATGGTACAAAAACTCACAAATCCAGAACATAATTTGGATGGGCAAACCTATTGTTTTAGTTTTATAGTCTGATGATGTAGTGATTGTCACATCTTCACCTACTAAACCATGGAGGGCATTAAGCTCAACTATTTCTTATTGCCATGATAATGGCATATTTATTTAAAAAAATAAAAAATATGTGTTTCTCAAAATGATTCCCCTAGATAGAAACATAGATGGCGAATTAGCAGTAATGTTATTTTATAAGTTCAGTCCTTTAAATATCTTGACATTTTTTTGAGGCTACAGGCACTCAAAAGGTCCAAATTGAATCTTTGTAAGAAAATGTAAAAAAGAGTGTAGCTTCCATCTTAAAAAGTCTATCACCACAGCAATACTTGATTTTAAAAGGATTTAAGTTTGTTTAGATTGGGGGATGTGAATTTGGACATAGGCAATCCTAAACAGATTTCTGAGTGCTATTTCCCTTCTTTAATAAGTGTGTCCAGATACAGTGCAGAACAGATGAAAAAAATGGTATGGAATTAATGAACTGAATTTTTGCTCCAGGTTCCACCACTGTGCCCAGTCTTTTTTTTTTCCTTTCTTGTTTAGAGTTTTCATTTCTTTGAAATTCTTTTTTGTGATTTGGGTGAAGCCAAGAACTCCATCTCTCTGTAGCCTCCCTGCTGCTGATGCTTTTGATTTGAAAAAGCCCAAATGGGAGCAGTTCCCTCATGAAATTTTCTCTTTAAGTTAAATGGAAGTCTGAGAGGTTAAGAAAGCTGGAGACCAGGAAGAGGAGATTATACAAAGAAAGAATAGACACCTTCTAGCCGTCTTCAGCCACCCACTGCATCTAAAATAATTTCTTTTTGCCCTTTAAAAAGTGAAAGAAATCATTTCTGAAGCATGTACAACCTGGATGCCACTATTTGTTTATTTTTCCTGTCTGCCTACTCAAAGATCTTTATCTCATATTCTATTGCATTGCAATAATGAACAGATTGCCTTTATTTTCTCCAGGCAAACTGAAGACTTCAGTAGCAAATCTCCCAGAATCAAAATGAACACAGGTATGCAAATTCATGGTGCAAAAAATGAGCATATTGTTTAATGCAAGTTACGGATCTTGTGAATAACTTTTTGGTAATATTTTTGCTTTCTTATATGTGTGCATATGAAGTGCTGATGTATATTTCTCTAGATACACTGTTATGTCTAAATATATGCATTTATACATGCATATGTAAATTAGCATCTACATTTCATTTCAATATATTTTCAGATACTTAGTAAAATATATTGGGGCAAAGAACATATCCATGTAGTCTAACACAGTGGCATAAATCAAGAAAGCTTTATTTCTTTAATGGCAAACTATTTACTTTTACAATGATTTAATTATTGCCTACTTATTTTGTTTAATTCATCTACTGGAGTATTTTACAAGTGTGTGAGTTAAATTATATATGCCTTACAGTGTCACATTTTGGAAAATTATATTTAATATCTCTTGAGCAGCATCATAGCCAAGTGGTGAAGATGTTTGCCTCCCATCCATAAGGTTGAAAGCTCAATCCTAGGCAGCAACAGATGTTTCACTCTCAGGGCACAAAGACAAAATAGTGCTGTGATATCCATGTAGACATCAGGAAGGGTATCTGGCCAGTAAATGTTCAGCTCCATTCAGTCGCCCAGACTCCGAATAAAGGGATTTACAGGGTCATGAAAAGAAAAGAAAAAAAATAAAACCTGTTAGGTAGCAATTTCTGTGATGGCCACTGATGACCACATACATCTTTTTTTGATACCCATGTACCTTTATTCTAGACAGCATAAATTCTGCAACTTAAGTGAATAATAATGCAGTACAAACAATATTGAACATAATTTAATACTATAATGCAATGTTTCTCAACCTTGGCAGCTTGAAGATGCATGGACCAACTCCCAGAATCCAGCAAGGCTAGCTGAGGAATTCTGGGAGTTGAAGTCCACATATCTTCAAGCTACCAAGATTAAGAAACACTGTTTTAATCTAATCATAAAAGCAGCAAAGAGAATAAATGCTCAGTTATTTGCCTCTCTAAAAAACTCTTTCAAGAATCTGATCTCTTATAAGCTGCCAGAAGTAAATTTTGACGGGACTGTACAGATCACTGCAGGGAATCGATCCAAATATCCTGGCATAACCGCCTCCCACAAAGCATAGCCCTTTTTGCCCTTGCTCTATATCACAGTCAGCAAGGAGAAATGGAAAGAAAATAATAAATATGTAATCTAGTATACAAACAGAAACATATGGGACGAAGCAGTCCTTAAGAGTTAATGTTCTTTCTGCTGGTTTTGAATTGCCAAATGGCACATCATTCTCTATATTAAGAGTAGAAAGAGTTAGGAGTGCCATTAAGGTGAACCCTGGACATAGTTGATTACCCTAAAATGGAACTAAGTTGTACTTTAGGTCATATCTACACCATTTAGCTTTCTAATGATATTAATTAGAGATTCAGTTTCATTGAAATAAGATACAATCTGATTTTGAGAGGAAATTTAATAAATAGAATAGAATTCTTGGCCAAGTGTGATTGGAAATACAAGGAATTTGTCTTTGATGCATAAGCTTGCAGTGTACATAAAAGCTATAAGTGATATTTTACTAGCAGGACTTTAAGCAGCCACTTTAAAAAACAAATCAAGCATTACCTATTTAAAAATCCTGTATCCGCACATTAGTCCAAAGCCAATGAAGAGTTAATCTATAGTACTGAAGGATCACAATCATTCTGTTTGTAATAAAATTGCTGGAAATCCTACTGAATTCTGTGACTAGTCTTAAGTATATCCATGAATGTCTCCTTTCAACACCAAGGCTAACTTTGGCTAAATGCTGTCCATCTCTTAAACTGTTTTTTAAAAAAATAAATCTTCCATTTGTCTCCGAGTTCCTCATTGTATAGATGTGAAATAAACAAAATGTTTAAAAGTCATGATATCTATGTAGTCACTTACCAAGCACATCTAAATTATATTAAACCAAAATATTTTTACACTCACCAAGGCATATCACAACATTTGAGCACCCCTAACATTTGGAAATTGAAAGTTGAAAAATTTGACACACCCAGTCCAATAACATGCAGGTGGTTTGATTTCAGTGCCATTATCATTAAAATTGACTCAGCATCTAACATCTGTTCAGTATGTGCCAAACTTTATTTGAGATGTTGCTCCAGACTGGGGATTACTGGTTATGAGGCACCTGAGCAAGCCTCTTATTGTTCATTTAAGGCAGAATGAAACTCACTTTTCTTATTGCCCAGGATAAAATGTACATAGTGTGTAATATATCAAAGCAAGGTCAAATCTGGATATACAGTTGTATATCCATATTTATTAAGTAGGTGAATAATATTCATTTTTATGGATGGATTCTTTTTTTGAATCATTGTGTTTTATAAATGTTCTAGGCATCAATAATTTGATTCTAAAATAGTTATTTTTATATAAAATAATTATCAACTATTTATGCATATTCAAAGATTACCCCCAAAAGGTTTAATGTAAATTATTCAACTGCAAATCTGAATTCCTCAACCAATTTGCAAAAACTTCAGAATTTAGCCTCCTTTTTCTGTATTCCAGATCAAAAATATTTTGTTCATTAAAAAAAACACATAGCTGCAGCATTGTCCTTCCATTCCATAGTAGAGCAAACCACTCTTAGAGATTTTAAAAATCCCTAGAATGCTACTTGCACAGTGTTCAGCAGAGATAACATCCACAATCTATAAATAAACATTCTCTCACCAGACATAGAAAGAATTCTTGTCTTTAACTTTAATGAGATTAAACAGTTTAAATCCAAGTGCATTAATTTAAAGTGGATTTAAGTGGCTGGGTAGACCAAGCTTTCCACTTATCCAGATTCCTTCTAAGAACATAACATTTCAAATAATTTAGGCAGACTGTTTATATGCAACCCTTTTTCTCACATAGATAATGAATGGCCCAAAGTTAATTTGCTTAAATGGATCTTTAGTGTCCCTCCACAAATTTATAGGCATGAAAGTACAAGAATAATATTGTGATAAATGCATCTCAATTTAAAATGATTTAATAACCCAACTGCTTTATAAAAAAACAAAAGACATAAATACAAACCTGGTTAAAAACAATTACAGTCCTTGGAGAGCATAAATATATATGAGGTTTAACTTTGTTAATATTAAATCATCATCATGCAGAGTTGTTACCATTTGTCTTCTATGCTCTCAAAACACACCAAAATAAGCTACATATTATATGCGATGCTGAATAAACAATTTGTTTTGAGAACAATTCCAAAATAGCATGTCCTAGACACTCAGCATTATTATTTCAAATACCAGCTATTTTATTCTTTCCTGGGATGGATAATCAGAATCTTCTTGATTTTGAATGTTTGCATGCCATCATATAAGCATTTAATCAACCAAACTGGATTTCCTTTAGATGCAATAGGCATGCCCCATGCAATTATCTTCTCCTTATGCACTATTAATGGCTGAGTAATCCAACTGTTGGTTTTGCCATGAAGTGTATGGGAAGCACAAGCCCCAAATTTAAGAGTATTTGCAATATATTTCTAATCATTGCAAATTAAATTCACAATTTGTCCTTGTAATAAAATCATCAAGCATACAAATCATACAGTCCACCTATGGTTAGATGTCCTGGTTCACTCCTTGTTGGTTCTACACACACACAAAAAGGACTATGCATGCAAAAACCCTAGATCAAAATGTCAAATGAGTTTGAATGCCTATATTCCATATTGGTATAATACCAGTAGCAATTAACACTTAGACTTATATACTGTTTCACAGTCCTTTACAGTTCTCTCTAAGAAAGTTTTCTAACTGTACCATTTCTAGAATTATATTCTTCCCTAGTGGGCTAAGCCAACATCGAGGGAAAGACACTGCCAATCCTGATTTTACAACTCACAAAGTTCCTTGTGATGAATGATACTTTCCTGCATTTCAGGCACATGGGATGAGTTTCCTGTTTATTGTTGTTCACCTAAAGCACAACAAACAAATACAAGAATTGATAGACTTAAAAAATGAAATTAACTTGAAAGGAAAAAAAAGGATCTTATTATAGCAGCGATCTAGATTTGTTGGACTACTCTGGCAGGTGAATTGTAATTGTTGTACAATTATAGCTTTCTTGTATAAATGCTGCCTTCAAGTACATGCCTGAAGGACACCAGAATAAGTCATACAATATCATATTGGGCAATATGCCCTAAGTTCCAAATTGACTGAGGATAATAATGTTGTTAGGGTTGGTCTATTGCTTTGATTCCTTGGCCCTTTTCTTTTATATTAAGTCATAACATTTGATTCAAAATGTGTTGGCGTGATCTTTGCTAGCATTGTCCTTATCTGATCATTCTTATTTTGAAGGTTTCTATTATTTTCATCTTATCTTTAGGTCTTTTAAAACGTATACCAGCGTCTTAATAAACAGCAGGCAGGTTGACAACTATCCCTTTGCATTCATGTTTAATCTGATCAACTGCTTCTTTAATTTTCTTTTGGGAATAATAGTTCTCAAAAGAGGGAGAGGGAGGGGAGTTAAGTTCAAGATTTAAAGTCAATTTGTAAATGCAAAATCTCCAAGATTCAAAAATATTTCCATGCATAAATCCTCCAGTAAATTTTGACTAGGAAAATTCTTTCCCACAGTTTCTCCAATTACAGCCAGCACTTTCTGCCACATTTGTTTCTGTTAAGTAGTTCATAATCCCTGGTGAGAAATTTCATTGCACTTTCTGAAGAAGAACTAAAGGGGCATTTGCTCACATTCAGATTCTAGCATTATCACATCGCCCATAAAGTACTGTAAATCAGGAATAGTTACAGCCCTTCAGACACCTCAGAAGAACTTTCAGCAGCCCAGAGTCATGACTGTTTCTAGCCATTCACGTAAAGGCTGTAGTGTTTCTAAAATAAACTATGTTTTTGTTAAAATGAGAAAACCTAAACTTCAAAAATCCAGGGGGAAAAAAACTTTAAAAATCAGTTGTACCCATTTTCACCTTGTTCCTTATAATTCTTCTACCATATCTACAAATACCAAGTATTTGTACCCCAACCACCAAATCGGCTCTCGACCAGAAACAAAAAAGAAACAATTTAACAGTAATTTGTGGTAATTCTTTCTGGTCGAGAAGGAAGATGGTTAGATGAAGGCAAAACGTTACTTTTCCATGCATTTCTGCCTAAAGTAAATAGTTCAGGTTATCATTTTAATAATCTGAATCCATATTATACTTATTTGTTTTTTATTTATTTGTAAAATTTATTAGCCGCCCATTCTGTCACACAGTAACTCTGGGCACTAATATAGAATATTCAGTTACGGCCACATACTACTTTCTAGTTTGCATTATGATTAGATCCTTATTTTGATGTGTCATTTTTAATCCTGCCTTTTAGTCTTTTTATTTTTGTGGTGAGTTAGGTACATCCAAGTGATTTTTCAAATACTGGAAAACACATGCTAAATCTCTTTGGCTGGTGTATTCTTTGGAATGGCAGTATTAATTAACAACAGCTTCCTCAAACTTTTGGTACGTATGTACAAGTATCTAGGGATCAACCACAAATTTTAACTGCATGGATTTATGTCCACATTTACATATCTCAATAATCTTCACTTTGTACATTGCATGTGCTTGCGTTCTATGTCGTGGGCTTGTGCCTGTGTCCTTTTCTGCTTTCAGATAGTGGTGGGTGTGCTCGCAAACGTGCTGCCATGTCTGTCAAATTAACAGCGGTGAAGAGAGTTCAAAGTTCTCCAAACCTTTTGACCGCAGGTATAGCTGTTAACCATGGAATGCCACACTTCAGTATCATTGTGTTGTCTTTTATACAGTTGTGCATTAAAACTGAATATTTGAAATGATAATCACAGATCCTTACTATTGTTATTGTGATGCGTATACATACATACATACATACATACATACATACATACATATTTTCTTAAGTTTTCGCAGGTATTTATATGTATGGTATTCAGCTTTATTCAGGTATTTTCCCACGTCATTATAGTTGTGCTTTTAAAGTTGTAGCAACGTTTCGGCAGAATCTCATCTGCCATCATAAGGCTTCTGTATAGTGTTCGTCCGAACACTATACAGAAGCCTGATGATGGCAGATGAGATTCTGCCAAAACGTTGCTACAACTTTAAAAGCACAACTATAATGACATGGGAAAATACCCGAACAATCAAAATAAATAAATAAATAAATATATATATATACATATATATATATACATCCCAATATTTTAGACTCAGCACCTTCTTGCATATATAAGGACAAAGAATTGTGGCACGTATTGCAAATAGATGGAACATCGAACTATCACTGGTCAAGGAAATGAACCAGAAGCACTGTAGTCCTCAACATAATATTAGAGCTTGCATATATTCCAAGCATTTATATGAAATATTAGTCTTTGAGCAAATGAGAACATGTACTATCCACACTTCTAAACAATGAAAAGGAATTCTGGGTTAACCTACTTTACTCAAAGGTAGACTGTTATTTCAGAAAATAAATGTTAGCCAGAAATAAAAGCACAAATGTTCAGAATAAATGTGACATTTGATTATATTTAAGTGAAAATTAGATGTAATTAATACAGGTAGTCTTTGTTCACTAACTACATTTGGCCTGGAAACTCAGTTGTTAAAACAAAGCAGTCCCTAAGTGAAACTGCTACTTAGCTTATTCTCTTCTTTTATCTTTCCTTTGCTTTACAGACCTTTGAAAATCATAACTGCAAGAATTCGTTGCAAAGTTAATTTTTTATTACTGTTACAACTGCAAACAGTCACTAATCAAAGCAGTCATTAAATATTAACTACCTGTATTAAACAAAATGAACTGAATTCAGTTATTATCAATTATTCCATTATAGATAATGTTTCTTTATATTATTAAACATTCAGTTCTACTACAACTTTGGGAAGGGCTGTGACCTGCACACATGCTATTTTGAGGGATCATGTGAGATGTGCCATAGGTTGCGTATCTCTAATGTAAAGGCTTCCTTGAATCTTCAACAGAAGCAATTCAGGCAGTAATATTTCCTAATCATGCTGAACCATTGATTGAACTCTAATTCTCCTTAGGCAATTTTAAGGAACTATGTGAGCAGAGCTTCTAATAAGACCTCAGTGAGAGTCTTTCACTCAGAAAAAAAGAGAAATAATATTGCGCATGATGACAATAAAGAACAAGGGCATTGTAATATTTTAATAAATAAACTGGTTTAAGGACAACTGTACCAAATTAGTAACATGGCTCTTTGCCCAAATTTGTATGCTGAAGTAAAATGCTGTTTTTATTTTTTCTACTTTATAATTATCTTTGCTCAGGTAAAAAGTACAGTTTGCAATTCCTTATTGAAAAAGAATAGAAGCCTATAGGGCAAAACTAGGAAGTAGCTTTCAGGTGTCAACTATTTCACCTGGCTGAAAACAGTGTAACATTTGTCATTTTCTCAGTGCCCTTTAGAGCATTGGATTGAAAAGTTTTCCCTCTGGCTGTTAGAAACCATACACTAGATTTCCGATATTAACAGCTTTTAGCAATTAAATTAAACCCTTAGCTAAGTGTTGTCACAAAACTGTCAACATAGAAAAAGGAAATGTGAAAAAAGGAAAAAAATGTGAAAGCAAAATGGCAAAAGCCATATGTGGAGTCATTTTGTTACAAACATTCAAAAACAATCCTGAGTTAAATGCTTTTTTTAAAAAAAATGCATTTGATAGTAGCCCAGAGAATGTAATCAGATGAATTATATCAGATGAATCATATTAGAAGATTAATTGTAATTCTGAGAATAATTGAATAGAGCCACGGGTATTGATTTACTGTTCTTGTAGTGTCTTAAACTATGCATAGGCACCAGAAGAAAAAAGTAATTCCAATAAATCAGTGTGTGCTAAGGATATTATAGCATTGAGAAAACACAATGCTTTTAGTACATAAGCTTTATTGTTCAGCTGCTTTAGAGGAATTAATTTCCACAGCTGTTGTGGTTTCTTTAAAATTGATTACTACTTAATATTACAGATTAAGTGTGATCTTGCCAAAATACTGTCAATGAAAATGGAAAGAGCTTCTAGATCGGTGTTTGTCAAACCTCAGCAACTTTTTCAGTGTTTCTCTCTCTTAGCAACTTTAAGATGTACGGATTTCAACGCTCAGAATTCTCTGGCTGATAATTTGCTGAGGTTTGGTAAACATTGCTCTGGATCATTTATTCTTTGTTTTAAATGAGTGTCCCTCAAAACATTACTGGGTCTCATGTATTTAATTTTTTTTAGTAATTTGTAATCTACCCAGAAAGTTTGGATTTTGAAATGAAAGTATAATAAATATCAGTGTTTAAAATAGTAATGGGTTCTTTTTTAGACAGACTTCAATATTACTACTCCTGTCACCATGGAGGTAGTTAAACCTTGGTTGATGGCTCAGTTTTGTATCTGAACTAACTGACAAGTGGATTAAGATATATATGAACCAAGTTGTTGAACTCATAAATAAAAGAAATTTGGGCCAAGCCAAAACAAAAATCATCAAAAGAAGTTATTTTGTGCTGGTTATTTTCATTTACAACTCAATGAGTTCAGTGAAAATTATTCCCAAAATAGGTATTTAAAATTTTAATATTTTAAAAAGAGTACATTTGGTAAGTAAATTTCTCTGACTTTCAGAGGCTAAAACAAGTTGTAAGAATCCTAATCAAACTTCCCATATATTAACTTTAGTATTTACTCTTTCTAGGACTTGATTCTCATTCACCAGACTCAGGTAATTTTTAAAAAATAAATTAATTATAATTTATTTTAGTTAATATTGCATGTGTTTGTATAGGCATCCATAAGGAGATGTCTGTCATGGCATTTCATTGACGCACCATGACTAACATATCTCTGCCAGGATATAAGTATAGAAGGCCAGGATTTGTGTTGTCACAAGTTTTCATTTTTGCATCATTACAGAATTTGTACTGTATGTTGTATATATACAGAATAAGCAAGACATACTTTTAAACTAATGCTGTTTTCCTATAAATCTTACTAAAATTGAGGGTGATCTTACCATGGACAAGAAAACTTGTGAATGTGTGACCATAAGCATCCCATTTTATATTATTGAAACCTTTTCTTCTATTTCTGAGTGGTTTGCTTAAATCCAGTCAACTCATCAAGGAAGACTCTACATTTACACATTGATCCACATTTGCTGACCACATTTTAGCTAATGTATCAGACCACAAAATTGGATTAATTGAGTAAATGAAGTTAGGTAAATTAATCCTGGACCAAAATGTCATGTGAATGCAGCCAGTAATTCCAAAGTTGCTGATATGTTTTTGTTATTAGAAACCAGTATAAAGGAAAAAAAGAATTCCATTGGTTTAGAAGGTAACTTTTATTTTTAGCAAAAACTCTTGAAAATTTTCTTATAATTGAAAATACAGACTTCAAATAAGCAACTTTAGGATTTTTTTCTTGAAAAAACTGCCATTGTCCTAGGCTTATTTAGATATAAATTAGATATATAAGGTTGGTGGGTTTTTTTTTATTTATTACTATTCTTGCCCTCTAGAGGAAACTGCATTTAATTTGGGTCTTCTCCACTGTTATCTTCTCCAAGTCAATAATGTGGCATTTTTAGATGCATACTTTATTCTTATACCCACCACAAAGATAGATTTAAATGTAGTAATAGCACTTAAACTTATATACCACTTCATAGTGCTTTACAGTCCTCTCTAAGTATATACAGAGTCAGAATATTGCCCCCAACAATCTTTGTCCATGAAAGGATGGAAGGCTGAGTCAACCTTGAGCTGCTTACAATCCAACTCCTGGAGTGACCAATGAGTTAGCCTGCAGTACTGGTTTCTAAGCACTGCAACACCACAGCTCTTAAATATAGTAATGAAACTACTAAATAACTGTTGCAAAAGATCCATTTATCTTGTTCCTTTTTCAGACAGTTACCAACAGAAAAGTAGACCCTTTAGTCTTTGGGGACTGCCATCATACCAGACTAACTAATGCACATATTCCCCTATCTTCTTCTTAGGAGTGCTGCTATAACTAATGTTTAAGTCTATGTTTAGGGCCCTCCTGATGAAGCCTTCTTCTAATCCTCAGTCCATAGTAGAGACCATTAGACTTCAGAGATTTCTGATCCAGTATGAAATTGGTGATTTCCATCTTGCAACCCAAGCCTGAGATACATACAAAGTGTGTGGCAGTTTGATGGCAACCATGATGATGAAAGAAAGGCTGGGGAACTTGTTTTTACAAGTCATGATTTTTTTTTCTGGTGGGGAAGGTATGCCTGCATTACCCCAAACCCCTTGCTTTTTTGGCAAGGTATTTTTTTTCAACAGGGCAGGGACAGTAAGTCAACACTGAGCTACCATCACTAGAAGCAGTCTTCCAAGCATCCTACTCATCAACTCCATCCCACCCTGTGAATGATTTGAACCATCTGATTTATGGCAGTGTAGAGTAATGTTTCTCAACCATGGCAATTTTACAAAGGGTGGACTTTTACTCCCAGAATTCCCCAGCCAGGCTCCAAGCCACCTGCCTTAAAGTTGCCAAGAAACACTGAAGTAGAATGATAGAGTGTCCAAGCTTCTATCACCCACCTCCCTGCATCAGGTGCTACAGGTATTCCATGCCAGGTGAGAGGCTGGTAATTTCCACTAAAACAGGAAAATAAAGCCTTTCCTGTTCTACAGGGACTGCTCTCCCCTTAGCCCACTAGAAAGCTTTCATTGTATCCCCATTGTTAGATCGGCCATTGCAGGTGATTCACAGGATGGGTACATCAGTTGAAATGGAAAGCCCCAATTTACTTTAGATCAGGTTCTCCTGGATGATTAAATCCACTGATCCAGCCATCTGTCTTATTCCTATTCTCCATTAGAAAAGTGATTATTATTTTTTGTTGGCAAGGACATTTAGCATCTCATCTTTTTTCCACAGAACACTATTAATTGTTAATGAGGTTGAACAGAGAGGAGCTGTGAATTTAGGCTGGCATACTTTGAACTGATTCATAGCTTGGACAACAACCCATTGAGCCAGCTGTCTGAATATGCCCAAAGTGCAGGAACATTCCATTTTTCACACGAGAAATTTCTCCATAAGGGGGAGTGGGAATGAAACAGTTGTCATTTTCCCTGCTCTAATTCCTTTATTTCAAAGCGTATGATAGGTCTTTTGGCATCTCTTTAACTGAGTCCTAATGATTTCCTCAATACTAAGTGATGGGATTTCAGGATTATAAATGGAATATGGATTTCCCACTTCCAGATAAAGGCTTAATTCTTTATCAGGTTATAAAATGAACTGGTGAAGATTCCACTGAGAAGGACTATTATGAAAAGTCAGAATCGGGGCATTCATAGGTGGAGGGAGGGGGCGCAAGGAAGGACAAATAATAATACATGTATGATTATTTTATATTCATACTGTCATCTAAGCCATTTTGTTTCATGGATGCTATTTGACAAAACAGTCATTTGTCTCAGCTGAACAATGGTGGTAGGCCCAGCATCCCCTCCTCATTGTTCTTCATAATAAAAGTATGTTCTACAATGCTAATTCATATGTATTTATATCCTTTCATTTTTTACATTGGTGTCACCACTTCTATCCATAGAGATTTTTTTTCTTTAAAAAAAAAAAGAACTGATTTCACTTATTACATTATCAAAGGATTTTTGTATCAGAAATAAATTTACTTGGATTTCTTTTCACATAAAAGCTTGGAGATCATTTAACATTGGAAGTAGAGAGACACTGAATGGAGACACTAGCAGCTCCTCTCTTGCAGCAAAAGGCTTTCGAAGTGTCCGGCCAAACCTACAAGAAAAGAAATCACCAACTCAGGTAAACAGGGAGCTGTATACAGTCACACTTCCACTTTCAATGCTATGTTTTCAGAAACAGAAGGGGTTATTCATTCCTTTGGATGAATGTTTCCTGGATGCTATCCTCACCTAGCTTATATTAGTCAGTCATATGTACATTTGACATACATTTACATCTTGGCTGTATGATAAAAATCATGCTACTTATACACAGTTTGTTGTTGTGTCCTACTTTAAATTAGTTTCCTGGAGTAAAGCATCCAGCTATGAAATGTCCTTCGAGTTAAAAATACTGGTAGATACCCCTTTTTCTAAAAATAAATAAATAAATCCTGCTACATCTTATCTGACTTGATGTCTTCTAATAGGCATTAAACAGAAAGCCCACCATTCTTAATTTTGAAAATGTGACACTTGTTGTTCAGCACCAGATTAGGAGCATTTGTTTTACTGAAATAATGTATGCTTTTTTTTTAAAAAAAAGAAACAGTTTGGAGTTTCTGGACCTAAAAATTCCAGAGAAATTCTGTCTCTGTAGTCTCCTGCTCAGAAGTGGGCCACAATTTGGAAGTTCTCCTAGACCAGGGGTCCCCAATCACCAGTCCCCAGAGCAGTACCAGCCCGTGGATCATTTTTTACCGGGCTGCAAAGCTTGGGCGCCGCGAGGGGGAGAGAGGGAGAAAAGAGCGCTACGGTATGCCCCAGCGCTAGTCTCCCTTTTCCTCTCCTTCTCCTTCTCCCCCGTCAACCACGCACACGCATGCGCACAGATAAAGCTGATGCTGTTGCTGCTGCACCATGACCCGGAGGAACAGATTGAGCACAGGCACTGAAGGAGCGCCACTGCGTCCGTCGCCAGATTGCAAAGAAGCAGCAGCTGCGGCGGCTGCGCCTCCAACTTTCCCGGGGAAGGTCATTCCTTGACCAGTCCCACTTCCCAGCCCATGCTTGCACCCTTCGCCCCCCCCCCGCCACCCACTTCCTCGCAGGTGGAGGTGGGAAACTGCGAGGAATTTGGGCGTGCTTTCTAGCCGGCTGTGCCAAATCTTTTTTTTTTTTTTTGCCCGAGGCTGGAAAGAAGAAGGGTGACAGGTCACTGAGGAAGGTGAGAGAGACTGGGAAGGGAGAGAGAAGCCCAGCTAAAGCAGCTCTGCGCTGCTTTAGGGACTAGTAGTAGAAGGTACCAGTCCGTGGAAGAATAAATAATCATAAAACCGGTCCCTGGTTCAAAAAAGGTTGGGGGCTACTGTCCTAGACATTAGAGGCATAAGGAAGAACTGGCAGTTATAGCTAAGACGACCTTTACACAAGTACACCTTGTTTGCCAATTGTGGTCTTTCCTGGACCAAGAGATCCTACTTACAGATCCTAGTCATATTTCATTTAGTTATTTGTTCTGACCAACCAAGTCACGCCTGCAAGACAGATGTTAAGTAGAGTCTGTTTATTGCCCACTTAAACAGTGTCAAATGGTCCACCAATGGTGCCAGTGAAGCTCTGCCACAGCCCCCAGTTTTCACAGTCTGATTTCCCCAATCCCAGAAGTCCTAGCCGATCCACAAGGCAAAAAGGGAAGTAACGATACCTACAAGTACCAAGTCTGCAACACAAGTCAGAGTTCCAGAAATCAAAGCACAGTCCAAGAGTTTGAAGTCAGAGAGCCAATGCCAAAGTCACAAGTTAAATCCAAAGTTTGGCTAAGAAACAAGATCCAAGATTCACAAAGCAGTATTCACAAAAGCTGGGAAGGTGCACATCAAAGCAAACAGGTGTTCACGACAAACAGACCTTTCCCCAGTGTCTGGTTAAATCACTTCCCCAGGTGTTTCTTGTGAGGAAGGGAGGGGCTTCCTTGCAAGCAGCCTCGCAGACCTCCTCTCTGCCTCATTACACTCTGCTCTCCCTGCCTGCGGATCAGGCAGGGGAGGCAACTGTTCCTCATCAGAGTTATTCTGAACCTTACCATCTTCGCTGGCCCTCTGTAGCTGATCCGCTAATGCAGGTAGCTTTCTGTCTGGTCAGCTGCCCCCCATCCCATTGCCAGGCAGCCCTGGGACTGCCTTGGCCTCAGCCCCTGGACTTTTCACTCATTTGGAGGGGACCATGCCATCCCCAACCGACGGTCCCGATTCAGTCCCCTCCAAGGAGATCTGACAAAACCGTGACATTATTCTAACACGTTATAATTTGGCTACCCTTGAAAGACAACTAAAAACTTTAGTTGCTGCAGAATGCACTGACCTGGGTAGAAATGGATGTATCTCAATATATTCAAGTTACCCAGGTGCTTTACAAGCTACATTGATTACAACTGGCTTCCACCTATGGTTCAAGGTGTAGTTATTATTCTTAAGGTCCTACATATCTTCAGACCTGGTATCTAAGGGACCATATTCTCCTATATTCCTCTTCCAAACCAAATAGGGACAATTCAGGGCAGGTCTTGGGTCCACAGAATTGTCACCTGACATGCCTCAAAGGTGAGCATTCTCACTCTTTCAACTCTATCAAACTTTGCTTAGAAGAAATTCTACCCACTTTATTTTTCCAATGCTTCAGGAAAAAAATGGAAGACTTACTTTCATCATGTACAGGAGATGGGTGCTCTTTAATGGGAAGGAGGCTTGCAGGATTATGGTATTTGTATTTGTTGGAACTTATTTTTTATATGTATTTATATGTACTTGAGGTTTGGGAGGTAGTTTACTTGTTAGCTGCCTACAGTTTGCAGGATGGGCAGCATACAAGAATTGTTAAGTAAATCAGTAAATTAATAATTTGGGGGGGTATGTGCATGCACACATATACAGATTTGTTTTATTAGTTTTATTTGCATGATCTATCCCATGCATGTGCATTTTTCCTCTATGCTTTAACAGTTCTGATAACCAGTAGTTTTGCTCTAAAAGTAAAATGTTTTATATCCATGTTGTTACACAGAAAGAGTTTTTGATACCATCGTATCTGCAGTAAATTAAGTAAAAGCTACATTTGACTCAGTGTCACATTTTTAAAGGTAGAGATGTAAAATGTCAATAAATATGTGCTAATTTTCCATTAGCAAAATAAAATGTTTTCTGGAATATTGTATTTTGCAGCTTGATTCAAGAAGCGCTAATTGCTATGCCAACGTTTACGTTTATTAAGTGCCTAGATTTTAAAAGACAATTCTGTTTACTTTCCTGCTAACGTTTTGCTTTGTCTCTTTCTCCTGTAATATTCTTTTGTTGTGTGGATGCTTTTGGCAAATAAGGCACCCCCCCTACCCACTAGGAAAAAATGTTTTGGTAGATCTGGAATATCTAATGTGAAGAAGACTGGAAGTAACTCCTGTTCCATAACAACCAAACAAATTAAGCCATTTTCTGATGGGAACTACTCTACTAACAAGGAGTTTCTTCAGAGGACAATTTATTCTAAAAAGTCTAACACAAGAATGTCTTGCACACAAAAAAGCACAAAACCACTGGTCTCGGTTTCTAGCACAAAAACAATATCTGGCATTAGAACTATTGTTCATCAAGGCCACAAACAGTCTCAGAAACGTAGAGTTTCTACCCTGAAATTAACTCAGGCACAGAATGTGTCTAGCAGTAGTGTTCCTTCTCATACACAGCAAATACCTGAGCCTGGTGGTGCCTCAGCAGCTCCATGGAGGTCTGCCTCACCTGCCTGTAACCCCATGCCTGAGATACACAAAGCATCTCTCTCCATTCAGATAGCCCCTACCCCTGATCGTAAAGCAGCACCTGAATGCCAACATCATCCATCTAGATTTTCTCCAGACCATTCAAAGATGCCACCAGAAAGTATGCAACAAATGTCTGATGCTCCGACTGCGCAATGCCATGTGGTATATTATATCTTTATCTCTTTCTCTGTCTTTTTACTCTTAGTTCTTTCTTGTATCACCTAACTCTTTTCTCTTTAGTGTACTCACATGGTTCTGACAATGACCACAAATTCTGGGTAAAACTACCTGTTACAATAATGAAATCTGTCCCATTATTATTATTATTATTATTATTATTATTATTATTATTATTATTAT